TATAAAATACTAATGGTGGAACGGAGTTATGTTATCCTTTGTGGGTAACATTCATCAGACTTCCTTTTTCTTTTTAAAAAATTTTTTTTTCAACGTTTATTTATTTTTGGGACAGAGAGAGACAGAGCATGAACGGGGGAGGGGCAGAGAGAGAGGGAGACACAGAATCGGAAACAGGCTCCAGGCTCTGAGCCATCAGCCCAGAGCCTGACGCGGGGCTCGAACTCACGGACCGCGAGATCATGACCTGGCTGAAGTCGGACGCTTAACCGACTGCGCCACCCAGGCGCCCCAGACTTCCTTTTTCTTAACACAGCTCCATTCTTGACCACTCACTTCACTGACAAGATGTCCCAATGTGTCCTTTTCCTAACATCACCAGTGGTATATATGAAATACAAAGTGGAAGCAATTCTAGCTTATGGGTGACATTTTCTCTTAAAGGATAGAGTTAGCATAAATGCATTCACTAAAAAGCGAGAAATGTAAAACCATTATGAATTTCAACCTTAAAAATAAAAGGTTATGCTGCATCATTAGCATGCATGTAGAACAAAAGTGAAGTTTCTCACTCAGGCAAAATGAAATGAAATGCTTGTGCTTCTCCTCTTTCTCTCTCTTTTGGTTTCCATGGATTTATTCATGTACTTTTTAAATTGAAGTATAATTAACATACAGTGTTATCTTAGTCTCAGGTGTATAACATTCAACAATTCCATACATTACTCAGTGCTCATCAAGATGAGCGTACTCTTCATCTCCTTTATCTATTTCACCTATTCCCTCCACTCACCTCCCCTCTGGCAATGATCAGTTTGTCTGTCAGAATCTGTTTTTTGTTTGCCTCTTTTTTTCTTTGTTCATTTGTTTTGTTTCTTAAATTCTGCATGAGTGAAATCATATGATCTTTGTCTGTCTCTGACTTATTTCACTTAGCCTTATACCCTCTTAGGTCCATCCAGGTTGTTGCAAATGGCAAGATCTCTTTCTTTCCTTTTATTCTATATGGTCTTATAGTTTAGAACATATAGTTCAATATAACTCAATCAATAAAACCAACTATTCCTCTGTTTTAGTTTGAAATGATCTAAAAATACAAGGCCTACTCATGTTTTGATAATTGACACTTACCCGGACAAAGAAGAACTGAATAAGAACAGTGTAGTAAATGACAGTGTGTTCAGACAGTGATTGTCCGCCTAGAGACTGTTTTGAGCATATATTCATTGCCATACCCCATTCCTAGTTTGGGAAATAGCTTATGTTTTCAGCAGTAATTCAAGAGCAATGAAATGGATGAAGATATCGCAAGAAAATTATCCAAAGGGAAAACAGAAAATATTTGATGCTTCAAATTAGATTTTCATCTTAAAGCACCACATAAAACAAATGCAGCTTTATATCTAGACCAGAATTCCTTAGGTACAGTGATTTTAGCCATGTGTCTTATCACAAAGAACTCTGACCATAAATATGGCATGTCTCTCTATGAAAAATTAATCCACCAGGACGGCTGACATCACAGCAAGTCAGAAGTAACAGAGATAAAAGCTACCTTAAAAAAAAAAAAGGTCCTAGGGGAGTCCCAGTTCAGACACTACAGTACACACAGAAATAAAGGAAATTCACTGCGGGAAGAAGAAACATAGTTCTGAGTAATATGAATGTGGTCACTGGGATATAGCTACACTCTGCTTAGCCAGCTGGATCCATTTGCTCTACAAAAGACAAGTGGCTGCTAAGATGATTTATTTGATAAATCTGCCAGAATTAAGGGAGCTGATGTTTTCCATATCTCATTTCCAACTCTGTGCTATTTTGAGTCATCGCTTCCTGGCACGATGTCATACCGCCCGCCTTTCAGGGTGGCTCCTGAGTGGTGTCAGGAGGTCTGTGTACATCCTAGACACAGGAAGATGTAGAGGGTATTTACTGGGGAAATCCTATTATAACGGTTTCCTTCGTGTTACAAAACTTAACTTGACAACAATGGTAGTCCTAACAAATCCTTCAAATAATCTGGGTTACAAGGAGCCTTAGTAGTCAGCTTTGTCAATTCAAATTCCATCCTTAATTTTCATATATCTGCTTTGTCTCTATTTGCAAATTTAGTAAGTAGGCCCCCACTTGTTCTAGTTAAGTCATTAATAAAATATATGGAACAGACTAGAGCTGAGGACTTTCCTAATAAGAATACCCCCATTTGTGCCAACTTTGATCCATGTATCTGCACGTTTAAGTACTGTTGTTAATCAGGTACTAATTCACTTTGCTACCTGTCTTCTATTCTTTCCACATCTGACAGGGCATTGGAGTCCCTGTTAACGACCTAGCTGAGGCCTTTTCAATGTAACCTTTCCCTAATCCAGAGTCTGTCTGTCTGTCTTATTCACACACACACACACACAGATTGGTTTGGTATTTGTCCTTGGTAATCAGTGGAGGATCCAGTAACTATGGGCTTCTTTTCTGTGTTCAGAGTCACGCACTATCATCAGACAGAACTGGGCTCTGGTTTCAAAGAAGTCAAACTCAGGCTGGTTTTTCTTGAAACCATACTTGGAAACATTTACAGAAGATAGTAATAATACCAACTAACACTCACATAGTGCCTGTTAAGTTCCTATACTATGCCAAGCACTTTGCATCTATTAGATCCTTTATCCTTGCAACAAACTTACTAAGTGAATAGTACTCTGTTACTCATTATCATCTGCTGTTACACCTACCTAAAAATGGGGAAGTTGAGGTTGAAACTGTTAACACATTTACTAACATGTCCATAAAGCGGCAAAAGTATTAGAGCCATGATTGAACCCACGGTGTGCCTGGCTCTTAGTCATTATGGCCTACTGCCTGCCAGGATACATAAATGGAATGGCTGAGAAAGAGGCCTCAGAGAGGAAGTCAGGAGATTTGTTATCTCGAATCATCATTTTGCTTCTTTTGGCCTCAGTTTTCTTATCTGTATAATGGGAGGTTTCAGTCAAAAGATCTTTAAGATCCCTTGATTCTTTATCATTCTTTTAAAGCATTTCTTTTCCAAAGTTATTTTTGACACGTAGTGATAAATAGGAAATATGAAGTATTTTATACCCTTTAAAAATGTTCTTTTATACTTAATCTCACTATGACAAAGTTGGTAGAATTGCTGATGGTTTAAACCTCATCCTCCACAAACGGTACCCTCTAAATCAACATGAATTGGCTGATTAGGAACATTCTAATTAAGCAATTAGAGGTGTCTAATGACTGCCTCTGAAGGGCTTTCCCCCCCCCCACCCCCACTTTTTTTTTAAAGTAGGCTTCATGCCCAGCGTGACACCCAATGCGGGGCTTGAACTTACAACCCTGAGATCAAGACCTGAGCTGAGATCGAGCTGGATGCTCAACCGACTGAGCCACCCCACGCGCCCCTCAAGGACTTTAAGTAACAAATAATAGTACATTTGACTTGTATATTCATTTAATTTGGCAAAGTAGAAAAAAAATAATGCCATGTGGATAGATAAAAAATGTGCCCTGATACATAGCTACATATAGAGAAAAAAAAAAGAAAAGAAAAAGCACGTATTACTTATCTGCCGACAAGCATGATTAGACTCTGATCCTAGCCTGTGGAATCTGTATTAGTTTCATTTCCTTTTTTATTTCCCTGATAGAATATGCCCCCGAAGCCAGAGAACAGCTTTGCCATATGGCAGCATATGCTTCTGGGTCTAGTACTGGCAGGCTGCTCTGTGAGCACCGCCTAACCTGGTGTTCTGCGATTGCATATGAGTGAGAGGGTATGAACTAAGGTGTGAGAACAGGGAACTGACAAGCCAACCCAAAACAGGAGGCCACACTGTGTAGTGACTTGGAGACTTACAGATGGATGCTGGCTCAGAGGGTTTTGGTAACAATGACTTCCATTTATACATTTTATTGCATTGGTTTCAAATTCACATTTTATTTTATTTTTTTTTTAATTTTTTTTATGCTTATTTATTTTTGAGACAGAGAGAGACAGAGCATGAACAGGGGAGGGGCAGAGAGAGAGGGAGACACAGAATCTGAAACAGGCTCTGGGCACTGAGCTGTCAGCACAGAGCCTGACGCGGGGCTCGAACTCACGGACCGCGAGATCATGACCTGGGCTGAAGTCGGACGCTCAACCGACTGAGCCACCCAGGCGCCCCTCAAATTCACAGTTTAAATTAGTGCAAAGTGGACTCCATACTGCAAAGCTACCATTTTGTTCGTTTCTTACTGAAGCCATATATATATGTACATACATATATTATATATATATATGTATATATATATAATATATGTATGTACATATATATATAGCATGTATATATGTGTGTGTGTGTATATATACAACAATTCCTTTATTTTGACTATACTATTATAATGTAATTTGGAAATTTAAAATAAATATACAATAAAAAACGGTCACTGAAAACAGTAATCAAATGATGAAAATGGCCTTGAAATGAATCCATGTACATTTCCAAGATATGCAAGTTCAGCCACTAACACAGTAACTGGCAAAAAAAGTTAAAACAAGTCCCTTCATTAATTACATGGGTAATACAAGTAGTATTTCCAAGCCTATTGTATTTTTTCCCAATAAGCTTTTAAAAATTCTATCTCGTTTCCCAACACAACATAAAATGTTGATTCTTTTATCTAGAAGAGAATTCTTGACATTAAATAATAAAACAGTTTTAAAGAAACTGTAAGTTAGCTTTCAACCATACTGGAGAGGATTTTCATACGCGTTTCTTAAAATATGCTGGAAGAGATCGCAAATTTATGATTGACCAAGATAAGAATAATCAAACCGAGTCCATTTCAGGAGGAGGAAGAATCTACCTGTCCCTTTACTGAATACACCAAGATCATGTGGCTAATTTGAATTCTGTCCCGAAATCCTAGGTTTTTTTTTTTTTGTCTAAAGTTTTGTTTCTGATGTGAAGAGACCTTATTATTGAAACCCAAATACAACATTTGTTTTGGCTACTGCTTTTTTCTTTTATTTGGGTAGCAGTGGCTACTGTGGGACTTTTTTTTGAAGGGGAGGGGTTGTTTTTATTTATTTGTTTATTTATTTCAATAAATGAAATTTATTGTCAAATTGGTTTCCATACAACACCCAGTGCTCATCCCAAAAGCTGCCCTCCTCAATACCCATCACCCACCCTCGGGGAGGGGTTGTTTTTTAATGTATGAATTTAAAACACACCTCATTCTTCCAAAGTACCGAAAACAAAGGAAGAACAATAAAATACTATCCAGGAATATATCACTTAAACTAAAAACAAAACAAAACACCCTGCAATTTTGTTTAATGACTGTATCGTGAGCTGGGAAGATCGTTGAAAATCCCAGACCCACTGCCTAATTACATGGTAAAGGGGGCTAGAACACGTTTCTTAGATTGCAAAGAGGGAGGACTAGAACAAAAACAGTTTGTTTTTGCTTCACCAAGCCGTGGATGCAAGGAGCATAATGGGATTGTTATTTTTCACCTTGTGGTCTGTTTACATCATCTTTTGGTCCTTCATCTATGCTCATTTACAAATGAGTACTTTTTGGTTTAAAAACGGGTGGGGGAGAAGACAAGGAAATCCAGGTGCTTTGGAAAAGGACTGATTTCCTGTAGCTGTAATTCTCCGTGCTGCTGTGTTGAGTTGTGCTGCTGTTCTGAAACCAAGCACACAATTTCTCCCTCTTTGTAGCCTCTAAACACACACACTACACAGAGGCGGCTGGGCATGCATTTTGGATACACGCTGATACATGTTTGGATGCAGACACATGGATAATGAAAGAAGAGCAGCCAGAGCCTTCCTGAAATACAATTTGGACAAGATGAGGATACTCTCTTCTTCCTCACAAGTAAATTTCTAATGTTTTGCCAAAAATCTCAAGAAAAACCAATCTAACACACTGTATTACAGGCTTCCAAGCACAAGCACTTTTTATTCATTGTTCTTTTTGATGAGCAAACCCCTTAGGCTGGCTAACCTGGCTTAAAAAAAAAATTCTATCCATAAAATCAATCATAGAAGCAAGGCAAGCCAAAGCATCTTTCTCGAAAAAACGGGAAGGAGATTTAATGAAGGAGGTAGATGGTGGGTGTGGAGCAGCGGGAAGAGAAGCGGGGTGCCCAGATGAAGTCCTAAACGTGTACCCATCCGTTAGTCCTCTACTCGGTACTACTAGAGGGAAAACACATGCATCAGCACTCCTGGTGAGTTAAGAAATAAAAAAGGCTGCAAGGTGCCGCTCTGATAGAGGGCAAGCACATTTTCTTTCTTAGATTGCAATTACTCCTGGCAACATTTAACGTGACACAGTCTATGCCAGGGAAAGGATTCTCAGTCATTTAGAAACACAGTTACTCCTACACCCATCGCTTTCATACGTCCATGTGGTTATATGCCTCTCGTTTATGCGACTTTATATATGCTCTGCCAATATTAAAGCATCCAAATAGCGGCTGACCCTACCTTCCCAGCTCTTCTCGTCACACAATGCAGTCAGGTCCAGCTCAGGCACTTCGGAGACAAAGCTCTCCTGCTGCTCATCGGCATCTTGGGTCCTCTGCAGTTTGGTGTCAGTTATGCCGGAGTGCTCCTGAATCTTCATTGTGGGGTTCTGCAATAACAGCACAATGTCCCCAAATATCTTACTGCTCACCAAAACCCAAAAATGTCTGCAGCAGTTCCACTCCTTCTGGATGAAACCTCCCAAGCTGAGGCTGTGGGTGTACCCAGCACAGAAATCAAAATCATAGTTTGATGCCCCCTGGATACTGGCTGGCCACCTGCATGCAAGAAGCCACTGTCCATCTATGCTCCTTTAACTTTTCCGCTGAGGAAGACAAGAGGATTTCCAAGAGCTGCTGCCCCTCCTGATAACTGCAGGCAGCTGACAGTCTTGATGGTTACTGATTGCGGCCAGGAATGAGGGAAAAGGAGTTTGTGTTTCCTTAAAGGAGTACAGCCCTGCAGACGGTAAACAACAACAAAAATCCTGCTACCGCCGTTGCTAAGGCTGTAGAAGCAACATGGTGTCTCCTGTGTGCAGACTTCTTTGCCCCGTAGGTAAACAGTCCGGCAAGGCCAGGAGCAGAGGCTGTGTGCACGAATGCCCTCCTGCTGGCCCTGCAGGCTTAGATCAATTAAGCAGGGCTAGCTGCACATTCCCAGATTTCCTGTGGTTGTTTTCTCCCCGAGTGTGGGGAGGACAGACTATTTATGGAGGAGCTCTGGGTATTAAAGCATTGTTGCGCAAATTCAAACAGCACAGGGGTTTGGCGGCTCATCTGGGCTAGCAGTAAGGAATACGGACTCTGGAAATGAGCCAAAATGACACAGGGAGCATTTTTTTTTTTTTTAAAGTAAAAAGCCAAGAACTGGCAAGTCAGCAATGCATAATTTATATCTTAACAAATATCAAACTGTCACTTGTTTTCCTACTATTCTTCTAGTCTGAGTACTGAATACTGAGCTCCACTTGGTTTTGCTCACTGGGGGCACCTACACCCTGCTCGGCTACCTGGGGGATGGGAAAACCCTCTCCCAGAGGCGGCTGTTTTAGCTAAGTGATTGTATGTTGACAAAATTTGCCCTGAAATTAATTCTTTTTTACCTCGCTTTTTTTTGGCATCTTGTAAGCCCAACCATTGTCCCTTTCCCTTCTCTCCTAAGATTATAAACCCAAGTGTTTACTCACAAATACCCTTCTCAAGTAGCACAGATCTGTACAAGAGATTTTCTTTGGAGAATAACTGGAAATTTATTTTAGCAAATATATTAAAGGAAAAAACCCTAAACATCTGGAAATCATAAATGATTCCTTTAATGCATGAGAAATGTTCTCCTGCTTAAAATAAGCACTATTAAGACTTCCAGCTACTTTTAATAGCTATTCAACCCACTTTGATATCACCAGGGGAATAGATGGGGGCTTTTACTATTATATTTCCATGAAATGATGCACAAGGGGCTGCTATTTTCTTCACATTTGGAATAAAATGAAAGATCATCAATCAGTTCATGATGAGCTCCTAAAGACAGATGAAAATGCCAAGTAAATCTGGGGCTTTAAGATACCTCAAAATGCTGCTTGTCTAATGGGGAAAACAGATTATGCACTTATGCTATAAAAATTATTTGTTCCTACAGCTGAGTCCTAAGTGGACCAGGGCTGAATGACCAAATCTGGCACTCAGTTTTTTAAGTTACAGGGTCAGCCACCAACCACTTGTGTGTGTGTGTTAGAATCTGCATACAGCAAATACACATTTTTCTCAATATTTTTAACACTGGTTACACTTAGAGACATAAAAACGAATATAAGAAATATGATTCCATATTGTAAGCATGACATATTCTTCTGGAAGAGCATGTATCAGCCCCTGACACTGTGCACTCGTGGAATGAATGTGGAGTTTGCTTTACAGGCAGACCTGGGCTTGCCGTGTGGCCGACATTTACTAGCTTGGTGCTCTGGCTGAACTGCTTCATTCACAACATCAATCTTGCAAGGTTCCTCTGAAGATCTGGGAGAAGGTATGAAAGGCCACTAACACAGTGCCTGGAGCATAAGAAACCCACACAGGGAGGCCATCACTCTTTTTTCATTACCAGGCCCCATATGCAGATGAGGAAAACACTGCCGTGTCTCAAAATGCTAGAGAGAGGGGTTGGAGATGAGGCATGTTCCACGGCAATTCGAGGTGAACCGTGCTATCTCAAGGGGTGGAGTTTTAGTCGCATTATGAACAAAGAAAAGAGCCTTCTGGGTTCCAGACACAAGTCAGCACTAGCAATTTTGGTGTTTTGGGGCAGTGTGGGTGAGAAGGGTTGAGGAGGAGCAAGCACGAAGACAGGCACCATGGGAGTTCACTGCAATGTGTACTTTTTATGACTGCAACCTCTGTCTCTTTTAGCACCCATTTCAAAGGAGATTGAGATTACAAAATTTTTTCTACATCTGAATTAGCATCCATTTCAAAGAAAGTTAAAGTGAGAATATTAAAGTTTTTTCTCCCCCCTCCAGAATGTACAGATTTATTCATTCTTTCAACAGCATGGTATGGGGCACCCACTGTGCTGGGTGTGTGAGACATGCACACTCCCAACACTGAGGGAGCTGGCACTTTGTGGGACAGGCTCAAGAATGCTCAGGGGAGTTCTGAGCACAGTTGATTTGGGTGCCATACAACAATGGGCCACCTTGTGAATTAGTGAGCTGCTCTTCACAGTATTGCAATGAAGTTTGAGAGTCAGGTATGTGGGAGACAGAGAGATTACTGCCATGGGTGGGAGGCTGGAATAGAACCCCCTAAGTTCCTATTATTCTAACAAAGAGAATCAGGTCAAAACTTTTTGTTTATTCAGTAATAACATCACATGCTATATACCTAAATAGGGTTATTATGTTGTGTGCTAGAGATGCAAAGATAATGTTTACTCATTTATTTAACAAATAAATTTTTAGTACATACTACATGCTAGGCCATTTTCTACACACTGGAGATACTTCAGGGGACAAAATCAAGTCTGTCCTTAATGAATCTTACAGGAAGTGACAGTAAACAAAGAAAAACATGTCAGGCAGTGATATGGACTATGGACAAAAATAAAGCAGAGTAAGAGGGATGATGGAGATCAGGGCCCCAGTCTGCAATTTTATAATGAGTGGTCAGGAAAGACCCTTCCTATGAAGGGACATATGAGCAGAGATATGAAGGAAATGCAGGAGTGAGTCATCTACTGGAAGAACATCTCAGGAAGAAGAAAAGCAAGTGCAAAGGCCCTGAGGTATGGTTGCTATGTTTAAGGAATAGCAAAAAGATCACTGTATCTGAAGTCACCATATAAGGGTGTTTAGATTGTGCCACATACAATGGGGTATCACTCACACTATAGACCTATATTAACTTACATAAGCTTCTGGACTTTCTGGCTGATTTTTTACACAGTAGTGGCGGGGTCTCTCTTACACAAACCACAACAGCTTGCATAGCATGGGCACACTCAGCACAGCCCTCATCAGCACACCCACATGCTCGGCTCTGTCCCGCTGTGCTGTGATCGGTCCCTGAGGCTGCTCTTTCATTTGCCCTCTGCTCTCAATTTCTGGCCTCACTGGTCTCACCAGAACCTGACATGGCTGCCTTTCCTGGGGGTGCAGAGTGGGCTGCTGGTGTGGACCCGGGGATTTATGTACACGTGGGATCTAGGGATGCTGCTCAGGGGCCACCCACGCTGAAGCTGTTCAGGCTTGGCAGCAATACGCCGGCATAAAACAACTCTTCCTTCAATGTTAGCCTAGTTTGGATGATGCACCTCTCCAGATCATTCCACACACTCTCCTGTTGCTCATCATATGGAATTACACTTGTCTTCTTGCTTGTCTGCTTCTTCTACTAGATCATTAATGTCAAAATGTCAAGGACATTCTCAAATACCAAAATATTTCTGGTTTCAACTTTTGTTGTTTACATGTCTTATATCTTCAGTTGAATCAGAGAGTAAATGAGTTACAATAGTCCCCCCTTATTCTGAGGGGGTACATTCCAAGATGCCCAGTGGATGCCTGAAACCAAGGATAGTACTGAACCCTACATGCACTATGCTTTTTCCTATACATATGTACCTATGATAAAGTCTAACTGATAAATTAGGCACAGTAAGAGATGAACAAGAACTACTAATAACATAGAACCACTGCACTGCATAATGTAATACAAGTGATGTGAATGTGATCTCTTTCTCAGAATATCTTACTGTGAGATACTTACACTTCTTGTGATGCTGTGAGATGACAAAGGTCTATGTGAGGTGAAGCGAGGTGAATCGTGTGGACGTTGTGACACAGTGTTGGGCTACTGTTGACCTACAGGTGACATGTCAGAAAGACAATCATCTGCTTCTGGACCAGGGTTGACTGTGGGTAACTGAGATCACGGGAAGTGAAACCGCAGATAATGGGGGACTACTGCTTTTTCACAATTTTCAACTCAGAGATCCTTATGCCGTGGGGTCACACACCAAACCCTTGTCAAAAATGTTGTGCCCTACAGAAACCCACTAAACAACAGTGTGGTGTGGCAGACAGGGGATGGGTTGAAGAGTTGGAGAGCTGAGTTTCAATCCTGGCCAACTAGCAGCAAGACCTTCAATGAAAACCTCTTTGTGCTTTAGCTGCTTCTTTTTTTTTAAAGCTTTTTTTCTATAATGCAAGTGCAAGATTTCATAAAGTTGGCATGAAGATTAAGTGAAAAACATATACAAAAATGGCTGTCCCATAGTTACTGTAAAAAAAATGCTATTTCCAATTATTCATTACTTCCCTTTCACATTCATTCATCTGGCAAGTGTTTATTGAACACATACTATGTCCTAGGCACTGGGATTACAGGAATTAACAACATATGGAATTTAGTGTGGAACAAAGATACTGAACATGTAAATACCAGTGTCACATATGTTATAAAAGAAAAAAAACAGGATGCCAGGGAGCAAATACTCAAGAGAGCTCACCTTGCCTGGGACCTCAGGTGACATTCCATGTTCAGGTCAAGGAACCATTAACTACTATTCACCTGATCTTTGTCAAGACTTGCCCTATCAAACTGGGCCTGGCTTTTTCAATTCTCAGACTTCACTGATCTTGCTCCTTCCCTGACTTCAAATAGTTGAATTTTTGTTCCATCCCTTCTCCCTGCACAGGATATAAATAAGTAGCCTAATGGCTTACCAGAGCTAGGAGCGATGATATCAGAGAGTGTACTGTGTAATGCAGTTTGCACAGGAAGGAACCACACAGTGTTAACAGAAGAACCACATGGAACCATAAACATTTACTGTTTGGCCTGACAATAAAAGAAAGTGGACATAACAAATTTCCAAAGTTCATGGGAATTCCAAAGTTTCAGTAGCCGTTAGAGACTGGGTGAAATGGGAAGTGAATCTAAATAAATAGAGCCCTTAAATTATTCTTGTTCTAACATTAAAACCAATAATAACAAAATCCTAAGGCTTCCATACAATACACCGAAGTTGAAATAACATGGTGATTCATTTCATAAATCCTTGTTGACAGGGATATTTCGGAATTTATCTCAATCCTGCTCAGGGCAAATAAAAGACTAGACTTAAGATGTTTGATAATTAATATTAATTTTCAGTCTTGATTGGAAAGCCTTGTCTTCTCTCTTACTCCTCTTTCTTTTTTCAAGCAGGATAAAAAAGGGAAATGGACTTTTGTTTACTATGAATGTCTTATTTGTTATCAAAGGTATGCTTCTAAGCTCTTCTAAGCAGTAGGCTTAGAAAGCATAAAGAATGTAAAAATATCTTGAAAGAATTTAACACTTCATTAACCTTATACTTCTGACATAAAATGACCTCTCCCAGATAAGGTAATACCCTTCCATGCACTCAATAATTCTTGAAGTTTTTTTTTTTTTTTTTTACATTTATTCATTTTTGAGAGACAGAGACAGAGCACAAGTTGGGGAGGGGCAGAGAGAGAGGGAGACACAGAATCTGAAGCAGGCTCCAGGCTCTGAGCTGTCAGCACAGAGGCTGACGCGGGGCTCGAACTCACAAACTGCGAGATCATGACCTGAGCCGAAGTCGGACACTTAACCGACTGAGTCACCCAGGCGCCCCATGCACTCAATAATTCTTACAGGTATTGCGTTCTTGATAAAGTATTAAGTATAAAGTTGTAGGTTTCATGTTCTGGATTTTATACAGAGGCATGAAATATCTCCCCAAAAGGAAAGAACTTATCAGAAGGAATCACTGAAGCATAAGGTTGAAACTCCATTGTAAGAACTTCGAAAATCTGTATTTTCAGTGATACCTTTTAGAATCTAGAAATTGCTGGTTTTAAGGACGACCTTTCTTCTGGATGCTTCCAGTTGTTCACTGAATTTAAAAAGAAACAAAAGAACAAAGACTCTGGATTCCATCTGTACAGGGAACAGTGTGCTAGGCTCTTCCTTACATTACCTCATTTCAAAAAGCCCAAATGGGGTATTTTATTTATTTTTTAAATTTTTTAAATGTTTATTTATTTTTTAGAGAGAAAGCATGAGTGGGGGAGGAGCAGAGAGAGAGAGAGACACACAGAATCAGAAGCAGGCTCCAGGCTCTGAGCTGTCAGCACAGAGCCCCAAGTGGGGCTCGAACTCATGAACCGTGAGATCATGACCTGAGCCGAAGTCAGATGTTTAACAGACTGAGCCACCCAGGTGCCCCCCGGATATTTTATTAAAATGCCAGCCTCTTGAAAACCTACCCAAAGAAATCATACTTTAATTTTTGGCATTTTGAAGGGACTCAATTTTTTTTCCATTGACCATCGGAGATCTCAAGCAGATTCTCTTTTTGGATAAGATGAGTTGATTCAAAAAATTAAAAAGATGTGCCACAAAGTGATAAACTGATGTTCAGTTGTCAACACATGCATTCAAACAAAAACACATTTAAGGGCTGCAAAATGATTACTTCAAAAATAAAGTCACAGTTGCGCCTGCATTTGTGTCTGAGCAGCAGATTCTAAAACCAGCTTCTCTCTGCCTACCTGTCCCTGTAAGGAGCATCACCAGTGTTCCTCATTCTCATGGAAACGTGACTCAAAACAAGAAGGAAAGACCACCTTTCCCAACAGCTGTCATTTGTTGTCTTAACCTCACATGGATCTCAAGAATATGTAAGGAAAAATTTAAAGGACGGTATTAAGGAAGACAAATTGTCTTCATGAAAAATGTAGCTGGAAACAACATCACATCCATCCATGGTGGGCATGTAAGTGTTGGCCTCTCAATCTGATGCTGTAGGAGGTGTGAAATAGAATACCAATTACACAGAATTCTAGGAGGGGTAACCAAAGCCTAGACTTATTTTTCATCTCTGCGATTTAGGAATTATTGTGGTATTACTAGAAGACCAGATTAACTATTTAGGTTGTAAAATAAGTTCTAGAAAGTGCTGCACATGTTGAATGGTAAACAATCACAATACGTGGCAAACAAGGGAAAGAGCTTTAAAAATGGAAAATGGATCTTTTTCACAGTCCATCACTAACAATTAAATATACATTTCCTTCAGTGAAAGAAACCCATGCCTTCATGAGGAGAAACATCATCCTAATCTTATGGAGTGATGGCTTGTTTTTCTCCTGTGGGGCAGTTGTGAAAGAAAGGTGACATGGATTGCCGAGCTAGATTTTAACTCACTGCCTAATTTTATCTCCTAGCTGAACTTATTATGGTGGCAATGATTATTAATAGTGAGTGCTTCAGGAGAGCCAACCGGGGGCCGGGTGCTGACTGGTAACTGCACATGGCGGACCCATGTAAGAATAGGACCTGGCACATGGAAGAAGGACTTGAGATTTTTTCCCCATGATTCATCCACTGCCATAGGAGCTGCCCACAAAATACCAAGGCAAACTGAGTTCAGCATGGGTTGAGTTTCGGTGCCACCTGGAATTTACGAGTTAATGTTATGAAGTCCATCCACAAAGGCTGCTCTATATCCTTTTATCTTATAGAGGATAATAGGCTGAAAAGGGAGGAAACGGAGGAGACCTCTCTAGGAGGCTGGCGAAGCAATTTTCTTTAAAGTAACGTTCAATGGCATGATGACTAGGTGCTTGCTGTGAGTAGAGGAAAAGAACAGAGAGAGGGTGAAACGAGAAGAAAAAGGAAACAACGCGATCACGGGGAAACTGTGCTCTGACAAAGGTACCTGGTGTCAAGGAAAAAGATGTCAGCTCATTGCCTGGGTCCCAAGGAAGGAAGCTTACATGGGTTGGAAATAAGAGATGAAAGAAGTGGCCCAGCAGCTGGAAGTCGGAAAGAGGAAGCATTCCCCTTCCATTATCTGGCTAGGTCGATGAAGTATACATGACAAGAACTGAACATAGGGAATATGATGAGTCCACAGCATTGGTAGGGAACGGGGGGAGTTGGCAATTAATTCCCAGCTCTTTTATGACAATTGTACACAAAGTGTGCATTTTTCTAAGAAGAAGTCTACAGCTTTTAGATTCTCAGTCTCCTGGATTGTAAAACTCCATGGAGGGTAGGGACTGGAGCCGTTACTGAATCGCAGCTTCTAACACAGTATGTGTCCACAGCAGGACTCAATACATGCTCCTGAGTAAATCCATCAGTGAATTAGAATTTGTCCAATAAAGATTAGGAATCACTGGGTTAGAGGAAGAGTTCTATGTATAATTAGTATTTCAAGATTCAGAACTCAAGAACAGGTTGAAAAATGCTTTAAATCTGGCCAAAGAGAAAAATTGATAAAAACATTGAAAGTAGAGTTGAAAGCATTTGGAAGTAGATTATGTACACATACATGAATGAAAAATGGGGTTAAGCACACTGAATGGAAGCCAGGGTTGGGAAAAGGGAAATCATTTTGGCCAGCATGGCGATGCCCTTGGAGAACAAGAAATACAGGAAATCACCAAAACTTTAAGATATAAACAACATAAGGGAGTTAGATACTTTTTCTCCATGGCTTACTTAAAATGAGACAAAACTCAGAAAACAAATTGGGTTTAGTAACTCACACTGAGTTTATCTTAATTTGAAAATTAATGAGACAAGTCTCTGTGATAGATCCACTAAACTCACTGCTTATTTATTTCAATCACTTAAAAAATGTATAAAACATAAAAAAAAAATCAAACCAGTAGATTTGGCTTTTTGTTTTATTTTACAGAAAATCTAAAGAGAAATCTCCATGCTATTGAAGTTTCTCTCTGCAAGCAAAATAAAAGATTTTAAAAAGCTATGGAAACCAATTTGACAATAAATTTCATATTAAAAAAAAGAATTTAAAAAGCAAAGAAAAGAGTTCTTATGATTTCTCATGGAATCTTTATGTCTCAGTATTTGCCTTTTGAAAACCAATCACAGTCCTATCCCTTAATCTCATTATCCCTTACTGACAGTCTAATAATGCTTCCCATGTGCTCTCAGGAATGTATGAACAGCCCCATTACAGTCACAGTTTTCTTAGCTACTCACCTCAAAATGCTGGGTATGTCTGCCGTCTTTTTCATTTTCTTTGCTACAAGTAACAGCAACAACAAAATATCATAAAAGGTCAATCTGTTTTAGAACAATGCTTTTCATCCATTGAAATTTATGACTTCATTCATTTTAAAAGGAAGCTGAGTGGCTCTAAATTAAATTCTGATAAAATTCGAAAACAAAACAAAAAAAAATCAAAATAAAACAAAACTAGAAATACAACAATGCATACAGTAGTCTTTAAGAGCACCATGGCAGATTTTCTATTCCAAGCATTTCCCATGCTACAAAATACTGTTGGTGAACATACAGTCTTTTAATTCTATTCTTTTTAGTTCTTTTAAGGCACACTGCATTAAGTGAAAAAAAAAAAAAAAAAAAGCTATTCATGCTCTTGTAAGCAATTTGAGGAGAAAATGCTAAAATTACCTTTCGTCGGACATCAGTTCAACATCATCAGGTCCAGCCCTCTCATGAGATGGTGTGGAGTTGAGGCTTTCCATATTCTGTAACAAAACATATTATTGGTTACCCAGTAAGAATGGTAAGAAACATGCAACAGAAGATCCTCCTTTATTTAAAATAGTAAAATCAGATAATATGCAGATATAAGCTAATTCAAGTCCTATTTCTATCTTTGTTAAAACCAGTAAAATTATGACAGTTTAGTAGATGCCACTTGCATAAAATTGGATGTTGAGTTTTATCATCCCCTTAATGAAGGTATCTGATACCATCATAGAAATGATCACTATATCCTATAATGTCCTTGTTAGGTATCATCCATATCTTAGAGCTAACCATAGCAAAACCCAGATTGTCAGAACATCAGGGTGGCGGCATTTGAATTAGAACTAAGGAGGGGCGCCTAGGTGGCTCAGTCAGTTGAGTGTCCAGCTTTGACTCAGGTCATCATCACACGGCTTGTGAGTTTAAGCCCTGCATTGGGCTCTGCACTGATAGTGTGGAGCCTGCTTGGGATTCTCTCTCTCTTTCTCTCCCTCTCTCTGCCCCTTCCCCACTTGTGCTTTTTCTTTCAAAATAAATAAATAAACAAGAAAAAAAAAAAAAAAA